CTTTCTTTCTTTCTTTCTTTCTTTCTTTCTTTCTTTCTTCACATTAACCGCCCTCATTCCTTCCTATCATTTTCTTTCTTTCTTTCTTTCTTTCTTTCTTTCTTTCTTTCTTTCTTCACTTTAACCGCCCCCATTCCTTCCTATCATTTTCTTTCCTTCTTTCTTTCTTTCTTTCTTTCTTTCTTTCTTTCTTTCTTTTTTCTTTCTTTCTTTTCTTTCTTTCGCCCCATTCCTTCCTTTCTTTCTTTCTTTCTTTCTTTCTTTCTTTCTTTCCTATCATTTTCTTTCCTTCTTTCTTTCTTTCTTTCTTTCTTTCTTTCTTTCTTTCTTTCTTTCTTTCTTTCTTTCTTTCTTTCTTCACTTTAACCGCCCCCATTCCTTCCTATCATTTTCTTTCTTTCTTTCTTTCTTTCTTTCTTTCTTTCTTTCTTTCTTTCTTTCTTTCTTTCTTTCTTTCTTTCACTTTAACCGCCCTCATTTCCTTCCTTTTCTTTTTTTTTCTTTCTTTCTTTCTTTATTTCCTCATTTTCTTTCTTTTTTCTTTCTTTCTTTCTTTCTTTTTTCTTTTTCTTTCTTTCTTTCTTTTCTTTCTTTCTTCACTTTAACCGCCCCCATTCCTTCCTATCTTTTTTCTTTCTTTCTTTCTTTCTTTCTTCACTTTAACTGCCCTCATTCCTTCCTATCATTTTTCTTTCTTTCTTTTTCTTTCTTTTCTTTCTTTCTTTTTTCTTTCTTTTCTTTCTTCACTTTAACCGCCCCCATTCCTTCCTTTCATTTTCTTTCTTTAACCGCCCTCATTCCTTTCTATCATTTTCTTTCTTTCTTTTCTTTCTTTCTTTTCTTTCTTTTCTTTCTTTCTTTTTTTTCTTCCGCCCCATTCCTTCCTATCATTTTCTTTTCTTTCTTTCTTTCTTTCTTTCTTTCTTTTTTCTTTTCTTTCTTTTCATTCCTTCATTAATCATTTTCCTTTTCATTTTCTTTCTTTCTTTCTTTCTTCACGTTTTCTTTCTTTTCTTCCTTTCATTTTCCCCTTTTCCTTCCTTTCATTTTTTTTTTCTTTCTTTTTTTTCTTCACTTTAACCGCCCCTCATTCCTTCCTATCATTTTTTCTTTCTTTCTTTTTTCTTTCTTTCTTTCTTTCTTTCTTTCATTTTCTTTCTTTTTTCTTTTCTTTCTTTAACCGCCCCCATTCCTTCCTTTCATTTTTTTTCTTTCTTTCTTTTCTTTTCATTTTCTTCCTTTTCTTTTCATTTTCTTTCTTTTCTTTCTTTCTTTCACATTAACCGCCTTTCATTCCTTTCCTATCATTTTCTTTTCTTTCTTTCCTTTCTATTTTCTTTCTTTCTTTTTCTTTCTTTCTTTCTTTTCTTCACTTTAACCGCCCCCATTCCTTCCTATCATTTTCTTTCTTTCTTTCTTTCTTCACTTTAACCGCCCTCATTCCTTCCTATCATTTTCTTTCTTTCTTTCTTTCTTTCTTTCTTTCTTTCTTTCTTTCTTTCTTCACATTAACCGCCCTCATTCCTTCCTATCATTTTTTCTTTCTTTCTTTCTTTCTTTCTTTCTTTCTTTCTTTCTTTCTTTCTTTCTTTCTTTTCTTCACTTTAACCGCCCCCATTCCTTCCTATCATTTTCTTTCTTTCTTTCTTTCTTTCTTTCTTTATTTCTTTCTTTCTTTCTTTCTTTCTTTTCTTCACTTTAACCGCCCCCATTCCTTCCTATCATTTTCTTTCTTTCTTTCTTTCTTTCTTTCTTTCTTTCTTCACTTTAACCGCCCCCATTCCTTCCTATCATTTTCTTCCTCTCTTTCTTTATTTCGTTCCTTCTTTCTTTACTTAAACCTTTGTTTCATTTAAACGTCTTCATGCATTTTTTCTTTCCTGCCATCTTTCTTTCTTTCTTTCTTTCTTTACTTAAACCTTTGTTTCATTTAAATGTCTTCATGCATTTTTCTTTTCTGCCATCTTTCTTTCTTTCTTTCTTTCTTTCTTTCTTTCTTTCTTTCTTTCTTTCTTTCTTTACTTAAACCTTTGTTTCATTTAAATGTCTTCATGCATTTTTCTTTCCTGCCATCTTTCTTTCTTTCTTTCTTTCTTTCTTTCTTTCTTCACTTAAACCCTCTTCCTTTTTACCATATTTCTTTCTTTTTTCTTTCTTCATCGTTGTATTCTTTCTCTACTGATTTAAACGTTTTTCTTCCCTCCTTCCTTCCTTCTTTTCTCCTTGCATTTCCTTCTTTTCTCTCTCCTTTCTTTCCTTCCTTCTTTGTGTTGCATTCCTTGTCTTTCAGTCATTAATTTCCTTTCTTTCCTTCTTTGTTTTTCATTCTTTCATTGTCATATCTGCCTCCTTCCGACCTACCGTATTCCTGTCTTTCTTTCTTTCTTTCTTTCTTTCTTTGTACATTTGCTATCTTTCCTTCGTCTTTTTCTTTTCAGCTTTTACTTTTTTTTTTATAAATTACTCTTTTCTTTTATTTGAATCTTTCTCGTTATCTTTGTTGCCGCCGTTGTGTGTTTTTAATTTTTCTTTCCCAGTTTTTCCAGCTTCATCTCTATATTTTTTAATCAGTTTACCTGCGACTCTATACTTTCTTCCAATTCTTTTTATTCGCCTATCCTCCTTTTATTTTTCATTGTTTCTTTCCCATTATTGTATTTATTTCCTTCATTTTTTTTCTCCCTCCTTCATTTATATAATTCTTGTTTAATTTTCTTTATCATTGGTTCGTTCTATTCCTTTCTTCTATCCTTAATTCATATGAAAAATATTTTACGCCATTTTTTTTTCATTCTTATCGTCATCATAAGTATCTTATTCTTCTTTTCCCTTTCTTCTTCTTCTTCTTCTTCTTCTTCTTCTTCATTCAGTTTTATTGTCTGTTATTTTTTTCATTCACATTTTTCCTGTTTTCTTCATCTTCCTCTTTTGGATGACTACTGTTGTGGTAAACCCTCTTACAGCATAATGAACTCTTCCTCCTCTTATAAATACAAACTGCAAGAGTCGGGTGGAAGAGGGTGAAGAGGAGTGGAGTAGTAGACGCAGTGCTAATCTACTTATTATTAACTCTATTGTTTTGTATATATCTTCAATATAGCTTTTTCAACCTACCTTCGTCTTCCGTGTCTTTTTTTCTGGCCCCTAAACAGGCCACAACAACTACCCATTTAACACTTTTCCATTCACGTCAAATTTACAATCATCTTCACGATTTTTCTCCTGTCACATCTTCTTCACTTAGATCTTCTTCTTCTTCTTCTTCTTCTTCTTCTTCTTCTTCTTATTATTATTATTATTATTATTATTATTATTATTATTATTATTAATAATAATAATAATAATTCTCCCTAAAAATTGATATATATAAATAAAAAAAAATCTTCCTCCACTCGAGCATCTTTCCGAATTATTTGCATTCGTTCAATTTTTAAAAAAAATACCCCCAACCAGCCGCTATTAAAATTAAAACAAAAGCAAGGAAACAGAATTTATTTGTGATTAAAAATGTTCTTCCATCTTTTCTTTCTTCCTTTTTCCTTTTCTGTTTCTTCATTTCTTTTTCTTCTTTTCCTCCTCTCTTTCTTTATAAATATACCTTTTCTCTTTTTCTTTCTTTCTTTCTCTTTATCTACCATCAATCCTTACTTTCCATTTCTTTTCTCGTTCGTTCGTTTCTTTCTTAATTCCAATTTCATCTTTAATTTCTTCTCTGCTTGCCTTTTCCTACTTCTGATTATGGCGCCTAATTAAATGCTGTTTGTGAAATCTTGGTTTATGCTAAATTTTCTTTCATGGTTTCCCTTTCCTCTTTCGTATTTTTTGGGGGCTGGGGGGTATTCATCCTCCCCCCCGACTTTTCTAATTTTCTCATCTTTTATTCGGTATTTTATTTCGTTCTTGGGAAATTTTCCAATTACTTTATTTTTAGTTTCATTTCACCTATATGTCGTCTTTTTTTTTCCTTTCCTTTTTCTTTCCACCTTTTCCCTTCCTTCTTTTTCTTTTTCTTCTCCTTTTCCTTCCTTTCTTTTTCCTTCTTTCTTTACTTCCTTTGTTTTATTCCTCCTTTCTTCTGTTTAGTTTTTCTTTCCTTGATTTTTCCTTCTCTCATTATCATATTCTTTCCTATATCCTCCTGTCCTGACGTATTTCTTTCTTTTTCTTTTCTTTCTTTCTTTCTTTCTTTCTTTCTTTCTTTTACTCCTTCACCTATTTTTAATTTTTTTCATTCTGACTTCATTTTATTTTCCTTTCATTTTATCTTCTTTTTATTTTCTCCGCTCTTCTTTCGTTCTTTCTTTATTTTGTTTTATTTTGTTTCAGTCTTTTGATTTTTCTCAATTATATTTTTCTTCATTCGTTGTCATATCTGGCAGGTCAGAAAGAATTTATTTTTCTGAACTTCCTAAAAAGAATAGATGAAAAGAAAGAAAAAAGAAAGATGCCATTTTCTTTCTTTCCTCTTTCCTCCCTTCTTTCCTTCCTTCCTTTCTTTCCTTCTTTCTTTACTTCCTTGTGTTTTATTCCTTCTACTTCGCATACTTCTGTTTAGTTTTTCTTCACTCATTGATTTTTCCTTCTCTCATTATCATATCTGCTTTCTATATCCTCCTGTCCTGACGTATTTCTTTCTTTCTTTCTTTCTTTCTTTCTTTCTTTCTTTCTTTCTTTACTCCTTCACTTTAACTATTTTTAATTTTTCATTCTGACTCACTCATTTATTTGTCCTTTCATTATCATATCTTCTTTTTATTTTCTCCGCTCTTCCTTTCGTTCTTTCTTTCTTTGTTTTATACCTTGTTCATCAGTCTTTTTCTTTCATCTCAATTATATTTTTCTTCATTCGTTGTCATATCTGTGTGAGAAAGAAAAAAAGAAATATGGCAGGTAAAGAAAGACAGAAAGAATGTCACTAAATGTGTGAAGAAAGACAGACTTGATGAATAACTGAACTAGGAAAGAATGAAAACGGTTAAAGTGAAAGGCTGAAAGAATAGATGAAAAGAAAGAAAAAAAGAAAGATGCCATTTTTCTTTCTTTCTTTCGTTCTTTCTTTCTTTCTATCACTTTTCCGATCTTCCTTTCTACATGCCATCTTTCTTTCTTTTCTTTTTCTTTCTTTCTTTCTTTCTTTCTTTCTTTCTTTCTTTCTTTACTTTAACAGTTTAACTTCCTACGTGCCATCTTTCTTTCTTTCTTCAGTTTACCGATCTTCCTTCCCACATGTCATATGTCTTTCTTTTCTTCTTTCTTTCTTTCTTTCTTTCTTTCTTTCTTTCTTTCTTTCTTTCTTTACTTTACCTAGCTTTCCTACATGCCATATTTCATGTTCTTTCTTTCTTTTGTCTTTCTCCACTCCATCACATTTATCGTCTTTCTTTATTTTATTTATTTATCTATTTATTTATTTATTTCCACATTTTCTCCAGTCCTTTACTTTAACTTTCTTTCATTCTCTCTTTAGCTGTCTTCTTTCATTCATTCCTTCATTTCTTCCTTCCTTGTCTTTTTTCCTTCCTTCCTTCCTTCATTCCTTCCTTGTATTTCCTTCCTTCCTTCCTTCCTTCCTTCCTTCCTTCCTTCCTTCCTTGTATCTTCTTTCTTCTTTCCTTCATTCCATCCTTGTATTTCCTTCCTTCCTTCCTTTCTTCCGTGTATTTTCTTCCTTTCTTCTTTATTTGTATTTCCTTCCTTCCTTCCTTCCTTTCCTTCTTCCTTCCTTCCTTCCTTCCTTCCTTGTATCTTCCTTCCTTCCTTCCTGCCTTGTATTTCCTTCCTTCCTTCAATGTATTTTCTTCCTTTATTCCTTCCTTCCTTCCTTGTATTTCCTTCCTTCCTTCCTTCCTTCCTTGTATCTTCTTCCTTCCTTCCTTGTATTTCCTTCCTTCCTTCTTTCCGTGTATTTTCTTCCTTTATTCTTTCCTTATCTTTCCTTCCTTTCCTTCCTTCCTTCCTTCCTTCCTTCCTTCCTTGTATCTTCTTCCTTCCTTCCTTGTATTTCCTTCCTTCCTTCCTTCCTTCCTTCTTTCCGTGTATTTTCTTCCTTTCTTCTTTCCTTGTCTTTCCTTCCTTCTTTCCTTCCTTTTATTTCCTTTCTTCCTTCCTTGTATTTCCTTCCATCCTTGTATTTTCTTCCTTGTCCTTCATATTGTGGTCTTTGTCGTTATTCACCTCTCCTTTCTTTTATTTACATTTCTACTTTTTATTTCCTTCCTTCTTCCCACCATACTTCTTCATTACTGCCTTCTGTTTTTTTCCCTTCCTCTTTCAGACTTTTCATTCACCTTCCTTCCTTCCTTCCTTCCTTCCTTCCTTCCTTCCTTCCTTCTCCCGTCCTTCTACACATATTTCCATTTTCGATATATATACATATATATATTTTCTTCCTGCCTTCGCTTATATTAAAACCCTTACAGCCTTCTTTCTTTTCTTGGCTCTGTTCTTCAAATGCTTTCTCAAAAAATAAATAAGCACCTTCGAATTCTTCTTTTTCTCTCCAATCTTGCCATTTCCACCCGTCTTCGATTCCTTCTTTCACATCTTACTTCGACAATTTTTTTTTGTTCGAAATACAGTTCTTCACATTTCTCACATCCTTCTCTCGGTCTTTTATTTCATTCTTTTCTTTTTTCCAACCCAAATTGCTAACTGCTACCTTTCTTCTCAGCTATAAATCAAAGAACATCAAATAAAAAGCCTCGGTACTAATCGCTTTCGGCAGTTGCCAAAAGCGACGGGTTATTACCAATACGGTCACCATGACCGTCAATATTGGAATAAACTACTTTTTCAACACGTAAAGGTGTTAATACAGTTTGATTAAAATGTCCGTGAATTAAGAATGAATGAAAAAGAACATATTCAAGTTTTCTTTTTTTAATACCACCAACTGTGTTTTATATTTACAATGGGCTATTTTGCCTGTCCCGTTAAAATAGACAAACATGCTTTTAAGCTTATTTTAAAATTCGGTAAAATAGACCTCAGGCTATTTGACCAGTAAATATTTTTTTTTATTATGATGGCAGGTAATGTTAACAATATATACAAATTTAACAAAGTAGTTTATTTATTTTCATCATCTTGTTTATGGAGTCTTGACATCATCAGCACAATGGTGGTGTGAACTGTGTACGCAGGACTTGGGAAAAAAAAAGGATTTTGTGGTCTGTTGTCTTCATTGGATGCACCTGAAGTGTATTGGCAAAAGAACCATGCCCAAGAGCAATTTTGGATTTGCAGAGATTGTTATGCCTGAAGTGCTTAAAATATTCAAACTTTTGTATTTCTTTTAATAATTGATGATGAATAAATGATTTTAACTTGTGGAATTAATGATGGAAAAAATATTTTAAAATATTTTTACAATTGACAGTGAAAATAAATAAACTTCTGCGTTAAATCTCTGTTGTTATTAGCTGCGTTCATAATAATAATAAAAATATTTACGGGCAAATAGCCTGAGGTCTATTTTACCGAGGCCGGTAAAATAAGCTTAAATGCATATTTGTCTATTTTACCGGGACCGGCAAAATAGCTCTGGGATAATTTTAAACAGCAAAGTTTGGTTTAAAAACATTTTGGTATGTTTTTAAGAAGACTATGTATTAACAGTTTTAGTTTTTTAATCCTTTCTACCCAAGGAAGCGATGATCCCACTAGAAATTAGTGGGTTACAGTGTGAAAGTGAATGAGAAGCCCGAGAATGTGGAGGATTGAAGAAAGGACAAGAACAGAACATGGTTCAAGCAGACATAAGTTGGTGATTGACGTTGCATTTAAATATTTGAAGAGTGTAGTTATCAGGGAAGCAAGCAAACGGAAGGAAGTTCCACAAGTGGGAAGTGCGAGAAAAAACTGTTTGTACCGAAGTAGTGGTTGTGCCAACTGTAAAAAGGTGAGACCTAGTTGGCAATCTAGTCGCACACTTAAATTCATGCAGTCGAGGCACAAGAGGAAAAAGGTTGATCAGAGCAGTTGACATGAAAATATTTGTAGAACAGACAGAGGGAGGCCACGTCACGTCGGTGAGAAAGTGACTGGCGACGAGATGCCTGGTCAAGATCGATTATATTGCAGACACTTCTCTGAACTTCGTCAAAAATCTCGAGATGCACATCAGGAGCACCAAACCAAATATGGTAAGAGTATTAGATACATAGACGAATGATCGATTTATAAATGTGCAAGATAGATTCTGACCAGAACATCTTTAGGTACAGCATTGTAAAACAACCTCAATATAGTCGCTTCTCAGTACCGTATATACTTGCGTATCCTTTGGACATCTCGAGGTGGTGTGATGGTTAGCAAGCTTGTCTCGCTAGAACAATTACTACTGAATAGTGAGTTCGATCCTCACTGGGTGCCCCATACTTTCGGCCTTGTGCCACATCTGAGCTACGCTTGGAAAATCCGTATACTTGAGTATCTTTAGAATCAAAGGAAGGGATGGTAAAAGTGGATGATCAGTTTTGTATTGTCCTCTAGTATTAAACCCATCCCCCATTTCTTGGCCACTGTATATGATATCCATTTCTATAAGCTAGACGCGTTTTTTGGTTGGTTGTTGATCCGGTCTTCTAACGAAGTAACCTTCTCAGTACCGTATATACTCACGTATCCTACGACTTTTGAAAACCTAATTTTGAAGATAATTTTAAGTGGGTCGCATTATACACGAGATATAAAATTAGCGTATGTTCTGCTGGCACTGACTACGCTGTTGACCAAACTATAAATCCAAACTATATATACATTTTCTGTAGTTAAATTAGCTTCAAAATTAGGTCTTCAAACGTCGCCTCATACGTCAGTATATAAGGTAATAAAAATACTTATAGACAATCAAAGAAAGGGATGGTAAAAAGCGGGGATCAGTTTTATAAATTTCACTTTAATGTTAAGCCCATCCCCTATTCTTGGCAATAACAGATTCGTAGATGAAATTCTAAAACCTCCTTATAGGTAATCCAATGAAAGGATGATAGAACGTGAAGGATCAGTTTTGTATTGTTCATTAGTATTAAACTCATCCCCCATTTCTTGGCCACTGTATATGATATTTCTTATCATATACAGCGTGCGATGGGTAAATTATCACCATTTTGTATTTTAATTTCGCGCATGCGCATTGTTTGTCTATAATTTTTTTCCACTGTACAGTATAGTAGGGTCAAATGGCCACTTGCCCATGAGAGAAAGAGTATCATGACACAATTCACTCCACCAGAAATTTGGAAACTGCATGCTGTAGTGTTTGACATTCGCGCAGGAAGCACGAACATTTCAGAGAATTTGGGTGTCAGTCTGAGAAGAGTGAAGAAAATTCGAAAAGAGTTGGGTGAGTGTAATGGTGATTTTCGAAGGTACGGCAGCTCGGAAAAGCCACACTGATCGTTCTGATAAGCAAAGAACGCCAGAATTTGTTGGTGAGGGACAAAGACTCAACACGGAGATTTACATAAGGAGGTAGTGCTGCCCTGGGTCCAGAGGGTGTCTGCTAGAAGACCTATATCTGCAAACAGGACTCTGAACCATGCCACAAAACAAGAGAAATGGCTGTCAGACAATATCTGCGACCACATCTAGCCGCCTAACTCCGCAGACTGCAACCCCCTTGATTATTATATGTGGGGAGCAGTTGAGCGAGAGACGAACAAAACTCCTTTTAACACCAAAAATGAATTGAAGGCAAAGAGTATGTCAGCATTCACCGACTTAAACAAGGAGACCATCTCGAAGAAATACAGGAGATTCCCCAACTCGTCTGGTGACCGTGTTTGAAGCCAATGGCGATTTTATTGAATGAATTTACTCTTTAGTATGTCAAGATATTTTTGTGTAATTTTGGTAAATATATCCGTTAAAACTGAATGTCAGTGTCATTTTAATTTTTATATAATTTACACGACAATTTATCCATCGCATTCTGTATATTTTATTAGGTTGGTGCAAAAATAATGACGTAATAATGTCGTTTTTTGACGTTAGAAAATACGTCAAAAAACGACATTATTACGTCATTATTTTTGCACCAACCTAATATTTATCTTAATTATATTTGTCAATTTAAAAAAGAAAGACGAAGTGGAAGATGAAGACTTCTTCAAAAAGAATTATATTTTTTTTTGTTCTTAATATACGTTTTGCTTACTTGTGAAGTATTGTTGTCGTCGTCGTCGTCGTCGTCGTCGTTGTTGTTGTTGTTGTTCTTCTTCTTCTTCTTCTTCTTCTTCTTCTTCTTCTTCTTCTTCTTCTTTCCTGTGAGTTCTTCTTTTATTTATCTCCTGGGATCTTTTTTTTCTTTTTCTTTTTCTTCATAATCTTCTGCTATTTCTTTCTTGTGATCTTTCCTTCTTTTTCTTTCTCATCTTTTTCTTCTTCATCTTCTTTTTTCTTTTTTGTGATCTCTTCTTCTTCTTCTTCATCGTCTTCTTTTTCTCTCTTGTGATATTTTCTTCTTCTCCATCTTCTTCATCTTTTTCTTTCTGGTGATCTTTTCTTCTTCATCTTTTTTCTTGTGATCTTTTCCTCTTCTTCATCTTTTTATTCTTCTTTCTTATGATTTTTTCTTCATTTTCTTCATCTTTTTCTTCTTCTTTTTCTTTCTTGTGTTATTTTCTTCTTTTACTTCTTCTTCATCTTTTTCTTCTTCATCTTTTTCTTTCTTTTGATCTTTTCTTCTTCGTCACTTACTGCTTCTTTCTTGCGATCTTATCTTCTTCATTTTTTCTTCTTCATCTTTTTTCTTTTGATATTTTCTTCTGCTTCTTTTTCATCATTTTCTTTCTTGTGATCGTTTCTTCTTCATCTTCTTCTTCATCTTTTTCTTTTTCTTTCTTGTGTTGTTTTCTTCTTTTAATTCTTCTTCATCTTTTTCTTCTTCATCATTTTCTTTTTTGTGATCTTTTCTTCTTCATCTTCTTCTTCATCTTTCTCTTCTTCTTTTTCCTCTTCTTTTTCTTTCTTATGATCTTTTCTTCGTCTTCCTCATCTTTTTCGTCGTCATCTTCATTTTTTCTTGTGATCTTTTCTTCTTCTTCTTCTTCTTCTTCTTCTTCTTCTTCTTCTATGATCCACAATTCTGCCTTCTGCGAAACATATAAGGATTCGTGAAAGAATAATTTTTAATAGCATTCTTAAGATTTTTTTTTTTTTTTGTACTAAAATATAGGAATGACAGGAAACATATATTTAGACTCAGAAAGAGACAGTCGACATTTTTAGGGCACAGAATTTGGAAAGCGCACTTAGAAAATTTGATATTCAAACGACATATCGAAGACAGAGGAAGCAGCGATTAAGCCAACCTAATATGTTTGTGTAAATGGTTGGCAGAGCAGGGATTACGAGATATACAAAAATATAAAATTTTATTAAGAGCTACCAAGTGCAGTAAAGTGGGAAGAACCATAGTCGCCTACGTCCTGAAATGACTGCTTGAAGACCTATATCTGGCAACAGGACTCTGCACCATGTCACACAAGCAGGAGAACACAGTCATGGCTGTCAGATAATTTTTGTGACCACATCACCCCTTACATCTGGCCACCTAACTCCCCAGACTGCAACTGCCTGTATTATTATGTGTGGGGCGCAGTTGAGCGAGAGACTAACAAAAACTGTATAGAAGAAGAAGAAGAAGA